AAAAAACAAAATCACCTTTTTTCTTAACAAATAAATAAATATATTAAAATCATGCACAAATCCATTTCAGTTCCTGTTGTATTGAGCACGATGATGTCTCTGCGGCTGCACTGCCCTTGGTGGGGCCCTGCATCCAGCCCGCACGCAGAGGGGCCTCTCTCACGCCTTGGAGCCACAACTGGTTCAATTCAAAGGTGGTTTTATTAACTTTTATTTCTTTTTATTCATGTTTATTCCCTGACCTGCCCCAATGGCATCTGCAGAGTCCTTTCCACCTCCATGAGATGGCCCCATCAAAGAAAACATCCTTATTCCTTCATTTTTTGTGCTAAACCACACAGATTCAGGTCTCCCGTCACCACCAATTTTTTAACACATGGGTTTAAAAACCTGTGGGACACAAGATCTGATTTTCACCTTCATTAACCAGGGAAATTATCTTAATTAATCAACTGCCGGGAGATCTGCCTGTCTCCCTGCATCTTTTCAGCCTCCCCAAACCAAAATGTTTCAACTGAGATTGAAACAGCTTAGTTTGAGATGTAATAAAGTGACTGTTGAGATGAGCAGACAGGAAGAATAAACCTGTTCCATAGGTGTCACTTCCATAGGGATACGCAGCTGCAGTTTCCTGTTGCTCAGGGTCACGTCGTGGATGTCCAAGTACTGTAAGTTCTCGAGATGTAAATGTTGGCAAATGAAGGTGCACAAACCCTCCCGGATGCTTTCAGCACTAATTCATCGCTACGCGCTGAAGCGTTGGACCTGCCATGAGCCAAAATCCCAGGAAAACAGGATAACCCAGAATCACACACCTCAAGCACTTGGGAGGCTCCACGGGGCTGGAGCTCAAGGGTTTGCCAAGGCCCTGGTGTGCTGCCAAAGCCCCACAGTCCAGCGCTGCAGAGGATTAGCCGGAGGAAAACAATCCAAACCTGAAAATCCAAGTACCTCTTTTTCACTGTAACCCACAAAACGGGAACATGGATGTGTGTGTTTTCCATGGCTCCAGGGCGCAGCGACGTTTGAGAGTCACTGGGATGCTCAGAGGGTGCAAGAAAGTGAGAGGAAAAGTGACTTGATTTTAGGTTCTCTCTCCAGCCACCTCCAGCCCTCTGACATCTCCTGGGGTCCCAACATGTCTTGGGCCACTCACCCCCAGGCAGTAATTAAAAGGTCTCATTAAGGAACTGGGGATATTCGCCCGGGACACAGAGTCCTGCCCCAGGGAATGTTCCCAGCAGGTTCCCACAGTTTTCCCCACGTGGTGTTTTTGGGGAGGTTCCATTTCCAACCTACCACTGTTGTATCCGCAGGGATGCCGCGCAGCTCACAGCCTTGGAAACACCTTAAATAGCCCAGCACTGGCTCAGGCAGGGGTTGCACTGCCCCGCTCCATCAGGTGGGTCAGGATTGAATCCCATCAGCACTGGAAAGCCTTCAAGACACAGCCCCACATCCCCAGCCCGTCACCAGCAACAAGGAGCTCTTGCCATCGATCCCAGCCCAGCAAGGATGAGCCTGTGGTGAAGGTAACGCTCCCCCTGAGTCTCTTTTTAGTGCGAACTCTCTTTATTGCTCTTTCTGTCTCCGTGTGTCTCTGTCTTTCCTTCCTTCTCTCTTTCCTCCTCCCCTTCCCTTCCCTTCCTGCCCTGCCCTTCCCTTTCCCCTTCCCTTTCTCTTCCCTTCCTTTCCCTCTTCCCTTCCTTTTCTCCTTCCCTTTCTCTTCCCTTCCCTCTTCCCTTCCCTTTTCCCTTTTCCCTTTCCCCTTTTCCCTTTCCCTTCCCTTCCCTCTTCCCTTCCCTTTTCCCTTTCCTCACCCTATGACAATGAACCCCTCAGCTCAGGGACCACCCACACTCATTCACTAACTAACCCACTCATGGGACCCCTCTGCCCCAAAGGTGCAACTTCAGGAGCTACAATACTTAACATCTTGGGTTGCAAAACACAGCGAAGTGGGGTTCATGTCCAGGCTTGGAGATACAATGTCCTGCTCCGTACCTTGGGCACAGCTCCCCTCTCTGCAAAGTTCCTCCATCTCTGGCAAGGATGGAAAACAGACAGTCCCATCCCTCTGGTCTTTGGAAAGCTTTGGCAACATTAAGAGCACGCACATCAAGCCCAAGCAGCCCTCATCCACCTCTGTCATGGGAGATGCTTCCTTTGGGCTTACCACTTGAGATTAGGACACCTCCATGGGACACTTGTGCTCCAACCTGGATGTTTCAACACTTCACTGCCTTTCTTGGAGAGAAAAAAGGCAACAAAGAAAAGGCAGGAGATCTTCCCACCAAATGACACGGCTGCAGGGATGGAGGCATCAAGGAAGCCTCAGGAGACATGCTCAGACCACAGGTTTTGACAACAGTAGTTGCTGGACAAGGGCTTCCAGCAGCACTTGGTTCCCAAAGGGCAAGTACTAATGGTTGGCAACTTCAGATGGTCTTTCTTGAGGAGAGGACATTTAGAGAGCAACCCGGTGTGGGTATGTCTCCCGTGCAAAGTTAATGTATCCCTGAAGGCCCTGTCTACATGCAAACCTGGTGGCCCAACCTCATCTAAGGGTACTAGAGCATTTTGGCAGCACTGAGGACCATGAGATGGGGCCCAGATGACTCCTAGGGATCCAGAGCACACCCTGGCCTAGGTGGCACTTTGGTCTTGGTGGACCAGGTATACCTGGAAGGTGGATGTCCCTGTGCCCTTGCAGGTAACCCCATGAGCGCAGCCCTGCAGATGACAGCGTTCGGTCTTGCTCTTCTCTCAACCCTCTTCCTGCTCCTGGCCACAGGCACTGACTGCTGGATGGTGAACGCTGATGACAGCTTGGAGGTGAGCACAGCAACCATGTTCAAGGTTAGCAGAGCAACCACGCTAAGGGTAGCAGCTGGCAGCAAGGTGGGTGCCTTGACTTCCATGGGGTTTGCCCCATGTCTCCACAGGCTTGGAAAGGGGGGACATGGTGGGACAAACCCACTGCTTTCTGCAGGAGTTGGAGGATTAGAGGGTTAGAAAGACAGACAAGAGCTGGAGCAGAAGGAGGAGACAGAGAGCAAGGTATGGGTAGGACACAGAGAGCAGCGTATGGGTAGGGAGTCACCAGGACATGTCCAGCTGTGGTGGTGGGAGCCTGAAGATCTGCCTCGCTGGGCTGGGGTATCAGGGGAGCTGTGGTGCTTTGTGGTGCTTTTTGCTCAAGTGACTTTCTCCTCTTCCTCCTGCTTCCAGGTGAGTCACAAATGCCGGGGGCTCTGGAGGGAGTGTGTCACCAACATGCAGGATGGGGTCAGGACCTGTGACCAGTATGACTCCATTCTGGCCGATCATCCAGGTAAGTGGCATGGCCTGGAGGCATTTCTTTAAGTTCACAGCTAAGAGTTTCCCCTCTTTCCTTTTCAAATGATCCTCGTTGCAAAGGGCTGACCTTCACCAGTTGGTGATGCAGAACCAGGGCTTCTCCTGGCCTCCTGCTCCATCAGCATGGCTTCGCAGGGACAAGTCCCATTGCACACAGCTATGGTGTGACCCATGCCACCTCTCCTACTTTTCACTGCTGTGTTGACATTTGCTGTTTAAAACACCAGCTCGGAGATAAAACCAGACGGTCTGGGCAGCAGCACCTCCTGTCCACGCCTGTGCAAGAAGGTCTCGAGTAGGTGGCCGTATCCCAGGTGTGGATTGGTGCACCTGAAGTTGTTTGGGGTCTTGAGCTGGTGTAATAACGGGCTTCCTAAGTCCTGTTGCAGGGTTGCTGATGAGCCTGGTGAGCTCCTTGCCTATGGCACATGGCAGGCATGGGGTCGGTGGGTCCCAGCGTAGGTATCTCCTATGGACAATGGCCACTGCAGAGCTGGGTGACTCTAGCAGGGACACAGGCAGCAGTCTGGAGCAGGGACACCAGCTCCTCTGACCGTTCCTCAGTCTCCTTTATGTGTTTTTTCCCTTCCTTGCCCAGTGAAGATCGTGGTGACACGGACCCTGCTGATCACAGCGGACCTCCTCTCTGGCCTGGCTTTGGCCATGCTGCTCCTTGGGCTCGACTGCATCAAGTTCCTCAAGGAAGATCCTCGTGTCAAACTCAAGATGTGCTACGGGGCTGGCATCATCCTCGGCGTTGGGAGTGCGTGGCTGGAGTGCTCGGGGGCAGATGGACCTCGTGTCCCACAGGGGCACCCCCTCAGAGGGGTCTTGGGGAGCACAAGGGGGTTGTGTGGGTCTTAACCAGCCCTGTTCCTTGTAGGCATCCTGGGTCTCGTGGGCTCCGTGTGGTACGCGGTGGATGTCTACGTGGAGAGGGCCATGCTGGTGTCTCACAACATATTCCTGGGAGTCCACTATGACTTCGGGTTGGTCGTGCTGGCTGGGGATGGCCGGCTCGACTGGCTGCCTTGGGGCATCTGTGCTGCTGACCTGCTGCCTCTGCGCCTGCACAGGTCAGTCTGCCCCGTCCCGCCTCCAGTAGCCTTCTGCCCTGCAGGGATGCACGTGGGGTGAAGGGCCAGCTCGGGGGGTGCAGGAACTTCTCACAGGGTCCAGCCAAATCAAGGGGAACCCCTTTGATCCAGCCTGTGTGCCCTGGCTGGGTCACGCCAGGCAGGACTGGGCTGAGTGAGGACCCCAAGGGCCCTGTAAGGGCACACAGGAGGTGCAGAAATGCTCCTTCCACATCTGTGGGACCTCGAGGTCCTGGTGAAGGTGTGTTGGTGTCTACCCAAAGCAGTGGCTGTGCTGGAGCTGTATCACTGTGCCCAGCCAAAGCCCGCGCTGGCGGCCGCATGGATGTGCCAGTGGAAACCTGGCACCACCATCACAGACATGGGGCAAGTGGTGCCTCACTAGATGTTATCTCCAGTCCTCACGCCTGGTCCCACTGCATGAAGGTTCTCTTGCCATGTCCCCGCACTGCAGCACACCCAGACCCCTGCTATTGCTGACCATGCCACAACCTCACCTCCCTCCCAGCAGATCCCAGCCGCCACCAGCAACCCCAGAGGCCTCCTCAGCCCCGGGTCCGAACGGCCACCAGCAAGATGTACGCCATGGACTCCCGCGTGTGATGGGCAGCAGCACCTCCCGCACCCGGCCCTGCTGTGGGATGCTCTCCCCGTCCAGCCTGACCACATTAAAACATCATCATCTTCTGTAGTGGGACACGTCTGCAACTGGGCTAAGGCTGCGACTGCAGGATCTGTGCGAGCTGTAGCATCAGCGGCTAAAATCCACAGAGGAGGTTGTTTTTCATAGAATCCCAGCCTGGTTTGGGTTGAAGGGGCCTTAAAGCTCATCCAGTTCCAACCCCTGCCACGGGCAGGGACACCTTCCACTAGAGCAGGTTGCTCCAAGCCCCTGTGTGCAAC